GCATTCATAAATCCGGTCACCGGCGGCGGCCGCCGCGCTCGGAGGCCCCCCCCCCCAACCCCCCCTCACCTCGGTGCCCGCGTGTGCGGGGAGCGGCTCACGCAGACACCCGACCCCTCCGAAACGCCCCCACGCAAATAAATCGGCGGTGCGATGTGTGAAGGTTGCGGTGCAGAGCTGTGGGCTCGGACCCCGTGCGCTCTCATCCCCAGTTTTGCCTCGAGGGTTTTATGACAGCCGGGAAAAGGAAGGCACTGAGCGCAGTGCTGGGTGGGTGCCAGGTGCCGTGGAGGGGGGGTTTGGGGGCTGTGGGTGTGTGGGGCCGGCACACATAGCGTTGGGAACGGTAACTGGCCGGGGAAATGGCCTCTGCCTGCAACGTGTGTGTGAGGAGGAGTGGTGGTTGGGGCACCTTGTAGCAAAGAGGCTGTAAAGCAGCGTTTCTGCGTCGCTTCTGACATTGTGGTTATTTGGAAGTCAGCGCAGTTCTAACAGGAGAAGCTGGGTTTCTCCTGCTGCTGCTGCGGAGCAGGATGGGAGGTGTGCTGGGCTCGCTTCCAGCAGACCCCTCGGAGGGCTCACGGTTCCCTCTCTGATGGGGCGGCACAGAGGTGGCTATGTGCAAAGCTGGCGGCTGCCGAGGGATGTGGGCAGCGAGCACGGTGGGGATGGCTTGTTGGTTGGGCTAGATGATCTTAGCTAGATGGTCTTTTCCAACCTTAACGATTTAACGATTGCACCCCGCGCTCCAGGCCTGCGCTTGCCACCCCGTTGGTGGGTATTGGGGCAAAGGACGCTCTGCATTGCAAGTGGAGGCCGTGTCGGAGCTGCTGCCCTGATCCTGGTGCTGCTGTGTGTGCTCCCTCCAGGCCCTTCCTGCGCTGATGGATAGCACTGCTGCAGGTGACTCATGCGCCGTCCTTCCTGGCGGCGGTGGGTGATGTTTTTCAATCTTCGTGGTGTTAGAAGAAGTAAGGACGGGCCTTCTCGATAAGTTTGCTCGGGCTGTAGGAACAACGGCAGCATCGCTTGCTATTTGCCCCAGATATCTGGCTTTGATTTGCATAGCTCTTCTCGTTGCACCGAGTGCACTGTGAACAAATGTTAACAGGCAGATTGCAGACAAAGCGCTGCAGCCAGCGTGTGTTTAAAATCAGTGCGTTGTCTTTTTTCCCCGTCGTTGGCTTTTTTCATTTTGCTTGGGGAGCTTTTCTCCCATATTTAGAGTGTTTGAACCATTTGATGAAACCAAAGAGGAGAGAGATGAGGCTCCGGCTGCCCAGGCTCCTTCATGACTGCACCATTTCCGATCGATACCCGGAGGTCGATTTGTCATTGCTGGAGGATGCCTCGTTCTGCCCCCCAGGCTGCGTGCTGCTAGGGACCGGGCGGTCGGCCGGCGTGTGGCGGCTGTATTTCTGGCTGCGAGTGGGAGGATTCAGCTGAATCGGAAGGCATAAAATGATTCAGTTACGCCCGAAGGCGGCCGCGGCACATCATTACGATGCAGGCTTCCAAGAAAGTCACAGGAAGTAATTAAATGGAAAAGGTCAGAGAATGAGGAAGTGTCGCTCCGCGGCGTTTCGGGATGGAGCTGGGAGCCCTGTGCTGGAGCTGGGGTGGGAGCTGGAGGCATGGCTGTGGCAGTGAGCTTCTTCCTTCCAGCAAAGGGCATAGAGCTGAGCTTCTCCCCAGATCCCACCTCCTTCCATGGCTGCTCCAAGCACTCACCCTGCCGACGTAGTAGTTTGCCCTTTACACTGAATTTTTTATTTTTTTTTCCCCCATTTTGCCCATTACTACTGATTTTTTCACTGTCATAAGCTGTCCATTCAGCTAGCTGTGTTTTTTTTCCTTTTCTTTCAAGCTTGAGCCAGGGAGAAAGGCATGGGACATACTTTGTGTCATGACATTATTGCTCGCAAATAGGACAGGAAATGAAGGGTTGCCAAAATATAACTGTTTATTTCTTGGCCTGAAAACATGGCTGTTTAAAATACTACATGTAAGTAGCTGCTTTGTTCGGTTACTTGGAGAACTTGCTGTTTCTAAGGGAATAATAGGTCTGTCGGATGGAAAAAGGGAAAGAAAAAAAAAAAAAGAGCAACCCTTTCTGCTTCTGTCTTGGAAACAAGTTGAAAAGCAGCTGTAGATAGATTTCAGTGAGGGTTTAGTTGGTTCACGTGGAGAGAGACCTGGGGAAGAGGATTGCGCTTTAGCCCAAACCCTCAGAAAACCCCAGTCGTGTTTCTGGCTCAGGGAAACCTAAAAAACTCGCCTTTGGGCCAGAAAGTGGGTTTTTCAGCCAGAAGCAGTGGGTGATGGATGGTGTCTGCCCGTGGCATGGATGCAGCCGGGAGCTGCTTCAACCTGTTTCTGCATCGCGTTGTAATCTCAATCTGGCACACCCTCTAGCGTGGGTTAAAAGGTGGCTTTATCTACCCGCTTAATTAAATCCCGAGGCTGCAAACAAAAGCACATTGCGCAGCGGAGGCTCTTCCTTAACGTGGACTTGCTTGGCTGGTAGCTGGCTTGAAACCACAAAATTGTTTCCTTGGGGCCACCAAACCGCAGGGAGATGGCGGTGGTTGTCATTCTTCAGGACCAGGGTGGAAGGCAGGAGCTTGGGAATGAGATGCAACGTCAGCACTGGCTCAGTCCCTCCATCGCATACATGCTGGAATGCTTGAAGAATTGATCAATGTAATTCCCTTTCCTCCAGCAGAATTAGAACAAACGGTCCTCTGGAGATGCTGAACCTGAGAGAGATACACTTGTCAATCTCTGGTTATCATTGTGGTTCTGTGCAGGGTGCTGGATCCCAAAAGAAGTGTCCCTGCTGCTGAATTCCACCTGTTGGATGGCTTCATTGGGGTTCTGCAGAAGTCCAGGTGCTGTGGCTCGCTGGCTGAGGTGCACCATGCACGTTCCCAGCTGCTGTGAAACCAGCTTTGGCTGCAGGAATTTTTCCTTTCACCGAGTCCATTGAAAAATGTGCTTCGTTTTCTTTCTTCCTCTTTTCTCCAGCTTTCTTAACACTAGAAGATGATCATTCTCGTGAGAGATGCTCAGGGGAAGAGAGGACAGAGATGAGTAAAATCATAAGTACAGATCTAGATACTGCACTGATGATACATGCCTTCTTCAGTATGCAGAGTGTTTGGTTTTTTGGAGGACTTAATGCTCCTGAAGAAGCATGGAAATGAAAATAAAAGTAGCTGGATGGTTTGTAGTATGAGGGTACAACTACCTTGCTTCTGCCTGTGTGCAGTTGCAGGAGGCTCTCTGATGTGTCGGTTGTCAATGGAAGGAGCACAGAACTCATTATGGATGGGATCAGCATGTTGGTACCTGTGTGCATCACATCTGTGCTCCGTGCCTCTTCTCTTTAAGTCAAACAAGCAGCTGAAGCGCAATGCTGGCTGCCTTGCACAACAGAAGTAGGTGCTTCCCCTTAAAAGCAAGCTGTGTTTTATCAAAAACAGTATTACAAAGCTTGCTTTCAGGGCTTCAAAGATATGTGTGCCAAAAGCCAGCAGGTTTTACCTGTTGCAGGAGGTTTCGGGGAGATTTTTCCCAAATTATTATTTTTGTCTCAAGTCTCCTTGTTCTTAGGCTCTTTGAATAACTTTCTTTGACTTTCTTCACTTGCAACTCACACTTCAAGGACTGTTTTGGTTTTATTTCCCCCCCTCTTTGTTCTCAACTCCTACGTGTGCTGTAATCAGAGGAGAGATCTTGAGGCTGTCAGCTGAGCCCAATAGCTGATGGCTATTCCATCAAGGAAGGAAATTTCTTCCTACTAGCAAATGTGGGGAGGAGGAGTTGCAGAACTCCATAGCAAAGCTCTTTTTTCATGTGTGTGTATTAAACATCCTTCCAAAAGTAATGGTAGGACTTGCTACTGCGTACATCTCCCTAGGAACAGAATTGTGTTTCTTGCAGGTAGCAAGTACTTTTTCCCCTTTTTTTTTTTTTTTTTTTTAACAAGAAGGTCACTCTCATCTCTCTTCTGCTAATCTGTGGGAAGCATGCATTGATATCTCTGAGAGATGTGCTGTAAAACCTGATGGTGTTTTCTGATGTAGTCCATGGGGAAGAAAGGGCCATGGTGCAAATTGTGCTTGTAAGGGCCCATGCTGCTCTGTGGGGACACATGCATGTTGTGCACATGTGCTCAGATCCCAAGGAAATCCAAAATGCTTAGGCTTTAATTGTGCTGTGCATCTGTCCTGTATGGCTACCTTTTGCAGTCCCTAGCCATTCATGCTTTTATCTATTTGTTAACTCACTTGCTGGTGGAGGAAGGTTGTTTGGGAGGACAAAGAAATCTATCATGTCTGCTCATACATATCATTTTAGGAGAAGTTTCCCTCAGCATGCCGTGAGATGTATGGGCAGTGCTGGCAGCTGGGATGCCTGCTGTGGGTCCCTGCAGTGAGAGATGCTCCCCAAA